TCATTATTTTTGCGTATCAACATTTTTGCATCACTCTTTGTGTATCACTCTTTGTGTATCACTCTTTGTGTATCACTTCTTTTTGTATCACTCTTTGTGTATCACTTCTTTTTGTATCACTCTTTGTGTATCACTTCTTTTTGTATCACTGCTTGTATATCACCATTTTTGCATCACTGTTTATGTATTAACAATAACGAACACCCTTATAATTAAAAATACTGAATTTCTTAAAATCTTGATATAGTTATTAGCAGATGAATAAGTTGTTTCAGAAATGAAAACAAAACTAGAGATTAATAATAAAAATTACATGCTAAAGATGAATGATCCCTATAGAACGGTAAATATTTATTGGGGACCAGCAGCAAACACACACCGCATGTTAACACGCCAGAACCCGTGCCTTGCATTTCCTGCATGGAATAGGCGGGGATTCTCCTGCATTCGAACACAGTCACAACCACTGCAGTGCAAAGCACCTTAACCATTATACCATCACGCCACAGAAGGTTTAGATGTAGAAGCATCGATATGCTAGTAGTAGAAGTAGTAGGTAGTAGCAGTAGTAGTAGTAGTAGTAGTAGTAGTTGTTGTTGTTATTGTTGTCATTTTGTGATAATTTGAGTACATACAAATGTCTGACGTACTATAATATTTTGAAGCACTAGCGTTAATAATAAGTGATACTTCGGTTTATAGGAGCATTAGCAAGTTGCAATAACTAACAACCGCAGAGTTAGTGGTAATGGCCACAGCATAAAAGTAGTACCAATGAAAAATGCAAAACTGATATTTTTAATTCATTTTACTTTTACCATTGTATCAATAATAATATTTACTAAATTAGTAGTTGTAATGTAAGTAGTAGTAGCCGTAGTAATATTATTAATGCTAACATAATAGTAGTATTAGTAACAAGAGTAACAATATTATTATTATAACAATAGTAGTTGTAGTATTAGTAGTAGCAGAAGTAGCAGTATTAGTAGCAAACACAGCAGCTTTATTAGTAATAGTTGTTGTTGTTGTACTGTAATAATATCAGCAACTCTCAGTTGAATTGAAAACGAATTCCCCGCTTATATCTTTTAAGATTTCTTGTTCCTTGTATGAAGCAAGATTTTTGGGACTTGATAGATAGATAGCAAAGACGTACGTATAATTCCCTCAGTAAACTATTGCCACTGCAGATAAACTATTATAAGAACAATAAAGAATTACCCTAAATAATAATAATAATGGGAACATCTTTTATTTTTCACCATAAAAAAAACAGACAATGATAAAAATATATATATATAATGATAAAATTTTTAAAAAATCTATAAAATAATATTAAAGGTTAAGACCATTTTGCTCATTGTGAAGTTAAGTGCAGAACGGTGAAATATATTTAATTAACATCATAACTTGTTCCTGTCACAGTAAATGTCATACGATAATCTTATAACAGTGTTTATCAATTTATCATTAAATGATGGCGGCCATGGAACTTTAAACAGTGATAATAATAATAATAATGATAATAATAATAATAAATAAAATGTAAGCATAGTAGTGGTAGGATATAGTTAACAAATCTTTCGGATCCATGAATATGATTGACGTGTGTTGGTCTTGATATTATGCAATTTTAACTTGGTGGAGATTGATAGCAGTGCCTCGTTACGAAAGTGTTGCCTTTGCATAAAATTTTCAAGCCATTCATTTTCCATGCAGCCTTCAAAGCATACATTAGTGACGAGGAAAAATCGAGTCATGATGGTAAGTAAGGCTTGTCTTCAAGGTTTAAAAACTGTTGCGTTGCTCAACATCAAACATCTCATGACTATGTCGCCTGTGATTTATTATTAATGAGTTTTTATGAAAA